GCCCGGCCCAAACCCCCCAGGATTGGCTGCCCTGGCCCAGGGAAGTGGGACTGGAAGGTGTCTGCACCCAGAGGCAACATGTGGGGCAGTCACTTGCCCCTCCCCCCAACCTTTAAATTGTGTGCTCCCACCCTGCCTCAACACCATGTCACCTCTGGTTTTTAGAGGGAAAATGTCCCTGCTGTCTGAGACACAAGGTGTGTGAGGTAATACCTTTTATTGGACCAAATTCTGTTAGTGAGAGAGAAGCTTCCACAGAGCTCTTCAGGTCTGGGAAACATGTTACAGCTAAATACAGGGTGGAACAGATTATTTGGCACAAGTAGTTAACACATTTCAATGGACCATCCAAGGTGAAGTGGCCCATTAAACACCCCTCCAGTTGTGGGGGCTGGGGTTGGGGGGAGGAAGCAACGGTGCTAGGAGGATAAATACAGACTGAGGCACTCGGTAATAGGGGCCATAATAGTACCTAAACTAGACGCATGCATGCTGTACCTTGGGCCTAAAAGCTGTGAAGTGTTACTCATAACCATACTTGCCGAAGAAAGTGATCCTGAACGCAGATCTCCTGAGTAGTAATTTGTGCCATGCACCGAGCTAGAGGGCAACGTTTCTAGTTTGTAGTGACATCCACTGACTAGTGAGGATTTTTGTACTCTAATTACTTCCAAACCAATGTTTACCTACATGGAAGGCAGAAGATGTTTAATGTCTGTCTGCTGTATTTTTAAACAACACTTACCAGAAATCATGCAGTCCTCCTTTTATCACTGTTTAATTGCTCCTCTAAGAACAATTGGGTGAATCACTTTTCACTGTATTGTGGCCCAGGAAATAGTGTTACATAACTTTTAATTGCATATCAACAGCCTACAAAGAGCAATTAAAAAATGATTATGGAGGGGGGAATAAAGTTTATGATCACAAGACCTCAAACCATGCAGAATAAAAATGTGACTGTGAAATAAAAAGAAATTCTTCAAATGTAAACTGCAGATAATTCCTCTGCGAATATGCCCATTATAAAACCTTCTGTCTGTCTGCAAATGTAATAATGGCCAGGGAAGGGACCAGTCTTGTGACTAAATCAGACAAAATGAGCTTAATTAGCGGTAGACAGACTAGTTATTTGGTGAACTGCCTGAATTTTAACAATTGAAGTAATAAATAGGGAAGGACGAGAGTTAAAAGATTAGTATAGATTTACATTTACTACAGGTCTAAACTGAAAGACTGAGCTCAGAAGGAGTGGAGTGGGATGGGATTGTTGCAAAGCATAAGTCACGAACAGAGTACTATAGGAACTTATGTATTAAACAATCCCTTCTGGAAACAGTCTGCCCAAGTTCTAAGTAATTCAGACTGACATGCAAGATCTGAAGTACATATGAGACAACAGATCATATCAATTTGCACTGACTGACTCACACTCTGCTAAATCCATGCCCTCTGGTACATCAAAGAAAAGTCAGATTGCTGGTGTGCTGGGTACACTGGCTGTGGATAATACAACCCAGATGATTTCCTAGATCAGTCATCATAAATTTTCACGGGTAACTAATTCACAGAGAAGACAGACTGAGAGTTAAAGCAAAGGCTACATCAAACTGGATTGACAAGTTAAATCTGAAGGCTCATTTGCTGATAAAGCTACAGTTGACATGTAATGATCTTAGTAAATTAGATTAATTTATTAAATTAGCTAGAGCCCAGGCCAGTACAGAAAGTTGCAGTAACCATAATTTTAAAAAGGCTTCAAATTTGATGCAGAGTGAAAACCTCCTTAAAGGCTCTTGGCCTATTAACTTGTAACAAGAACTATTCAATTAGAGCCTGATCCAAAAACCTTTGGAAACTAATGGAAAAACTCCCATAAGAATGCTGAATTTAAGAATACAGAGCTGTTGTGTTTTCTCTTTTGAGCTTACCTGACCAAAACCTACAAGTCTTGATATGAGTTCCACAGAGATTTGGATTCAAGTTAAGTACAAAGAATAAACAGTAGCTAGCTAATTGGTTTCAGGTGCTGTTTTGAAATTCTACAACTCAAACATTGCTTCTTGTTTTCAAGAGAATGTTTGCAGATTTGACCCCATCATTTTCACACTCTCCTCACCCTCCCGACTTTGTTTTCAGAGGTACTAAGCACCTCACAGCTGGAAATGAAATCAATAGGAGTGGTGGGTGCTCAGCACCTCTGAAAACCAGACCTCAGTTGTCCTTTAACTTTCTCCTTGACTACAGCAGCCACCTTGGCTATCAGCCTGGGGATTGAACTGGGGACTTCCAAAGCAAAAAGCTTGAGCTGCTATGGCTTGCACTAAAGCTCTCGAGGTAGGGCCACCATGGCAGCCCTGTCTTCTCTGCCTCAGGCACAGAGCAAGACCTGTAACACCTGCTCGCCAGTGGGTTGCACGAAGACTTGGCAGCACATTAGTTTAAATTAAAAGGAGGTGAAAGTTGCTCCAAGTTGTACACCTCTGAACAGAGCCCAATAGGTGATGGGTGAGTCATGGCCTGGTTAAAGGAAATAAGCCTGGAAAGCAAGATAAAAATACTGCAAGTAAATGCGGTTTAGAAATTTAATGCCAGATTTAACCCCAGATTCTGAAAACTGGACATTTGGGTTTGGTAAATGGTAAACGTTTTGAATAGTGTAAATGTGTGTATGCAGTAATCGATATCTATTGATAGAATATGTTACGATATGAAAAACTCAAGCAGGTATAACATTGTCCTCCGAAAGATAAAGCTATAAGCCTTAATAGCCAGAGAGTCTCCTGTCAGTTGGAGAAGACACAAGTTCCACTCCCCATAATGCATACTTGTGGTTTGCTAGCAACTAGGATATTTGTTTATGCATGTATAGAAAGTTTAGGTACTGCAGTCACTGAAGGGTTTTAGCGGTTCAAATTTTTAGGTACCGTGAACTCTTAATCACCTTTCTCTCTGGGACCCTTTGGGAATCTTGCTATAAATCAAATGAAAGGGTCTTATGCAGGGTCCCTCCCCCTGAACTTGCTGTAGTATCTGTTTAGCGTAATGAGTACAATCCTCAGAGCTGCCCAATTGGCTGGAGCTCTCTCATGCTCATATTAATGAGGTTCCCTATATTGTTTACATACCCTACTCTAAAATGATATAAATAAAATTCAGCACAGCCTTACATGGTTAGACTTGACAAAGGGCTGGATGGTGCCAAAATGTCCAGTTTCTGTGCATGCCAAATGCTTTTAATAATCTACTTCCATATTGTAGAACTGTGTTTGTGTTACTTCAACCTCTCTTAAGTGCCCAGTATATAAAGAATGGGAGCCACCCACAAAGAAGAAAGGATGGGTGTGTATATAAAGTCTGCTGCAGTTTCCACGGTACACATCTGATGAAGTGAGCTGTGGCTCACGAAAGCTCATGCTCAAATAAATTGGTTAGTCTCTAAGGTGCCACAAGTCCTCCTTTTCTTTTTGCGAATACAGACTAACACGGCTGTTCCTCTGAAACTTATCTCCCTTTGAGTACATTTCATATTAAGACCTTATTCCATTAGGAGAGCCCATCTAGGCCTCAACACCACAGACTTAACATGGAACTCCCTAAAAATGAGGTTTTAAAAAAAAAAAAAGCACATTTTGAGAAGTCCTGTGAAGTAAAGCAAGTTACAACCTAAATCTGACAATGTTAGCATTTTATTAGGGCCAATATTGGCAGGACCCTCAGCTCACTTCATTAGCGGTCACGTGAGCTGCAGTATTTGCTTACAATGGAATCAGTAAAGAATTCCACATTTCCCTCTCCTTGCTAGCTGTGTATTTAGTTAGCTAGTTTATTCTGCTTCACCAAACAGGCCTACTGAACACGTAAAGGTCACTTGCTTCTAAATGCATTAACACAGATCTACATGGAAGCAACAAATAATAAAGCTGGAGTGTGGCCAAAAAGCCTCCCAGAAAGGTTTGTTTTCCAGTAATTGCAGCCAGTGAGGCAACGTCTGTCCCTCTCACTCTCTTTATGAACATGCTGGGTGGGGCTAGAGTGATGCGAGCTCATGCAGAGGGTCCAGATCTCCTGCACATTGCTAGGCACCAGGGCAGGGGTGGCCAGCCTGAGCCTGAGAAGGAGCCAGAATTTACCAATGAACATTGCCAAAGAGCCACAGTAATATGTCAGCAGCCCCACATCAGCTACCCCGCTCCAGCCCTAAGTGCCTCCTGCCCATTGGCAGCCTCACCAATCAGCGCCTCTCCCTCCCTCCCCGCACCTCCTGCCCGCCGCAATCAGCTGTTTTGCAGTGCACAGGAGTGAGGGCATGGCAGGCTCGGGGGAAGGGGTGGAGTGGTGCCAGGACCTGGGGCAGAGCAGGGAGTTGAGCAGTGAGCACCCCGCAGCACATTGGAAAGTTAGCATCTGTAGCTCCAGCCTCAGAGTCATCACCCATGCAAGGAGCCACATATTAACCTCTGAAGAGCTGCATGCGGCTCCGGAGCCACAGGTTGGCCACCCCTGCACCAGGGGATTCCTTCTGCACCTCAAGGGAGGTTGGGATGGAACATGTGTTTGTCTCCACTAACTATTCCCCTCTGCAGTTCTGTAACTAGGTGAGAAGGTTTCATGTGTAAGGGTTTGTGTGATTAGCGAGGGAGAGAAGGGGAAGCTTTCAGCAGAGGAAGAAACATTATGCTCCCAGTAATACTTTAACTGATATTCCCAGGCATGTGTCATGGAAGACAGGAGAGATTCAAGAGGACCGGAAAAGGGCAAATATAATGCCCATCAATCAAAAAGGGAAATAAGACCACCACCAAGAATTATAGACCAATCAGCTTAACTTCAGTACCAGAAAGGTATGGAGCAAATAATTAAGCAATTTGTAAACACCTAGAAGCAGTGGTGAGCTGGAGCCGGTTCCGGTTGTTAAATGCTGAACCAGTTTTAGAACCAGTTGTTGAAAATTGTTACGGCTCCCTGAGCTCCTGGCCGGCCCCTCCCCTCTCGCAGAGCCTCAGTGTACCGCATCACCGGCGCCAGTGCTCTGGACTGCTCCTGGGCAGCTCGGCAGCTCCTGCCGCTTTGAGCGGCATGGTAAGGGGGTGGGGCTGTGAGCTCCAGCGGGCTGCGCAGCATCCAGACACGCTGCCCCGAGCGGCACGGTAAGGGGGCCGGGCCGGGGCTGGGAGAAGGGGTTGGATGAGGGGCAGGGAGAGGTTGGAGGGGGCGGAGGTTCTGGGGTGGGGGGGCGGTCAGGGGATGGGGAATGCAGGGGGATGGGTCGGCTTGGGAGTTCCAGGGGGGTCTGTCGGGCAGGGCCGGTTCAACCACTAGGCGGCCGCCTAGGGCGCCAAGTGGTTGGGGGCACCAAAAAGCGGTGCCCCCAAAATTTTTTAAACAGCAGAGCACAAGGCTGCCGCTGCTCCCCGCCTCCTGGCTCTAGAGGGGCCGCCCATGGCGCGGCCAGTCCCTCCCCGTGGGGGAGCAGCTGGTGGCGGAGCGGGGACGGGGAGGGTCTAGCACTAGCAGCTGTGCCCTCTTCTCTGCACCATGGGCTGAGCCGAAATTCCCGCCACCCCTGGGGCTTGCAGTGGTGGCGGCTGCCGCTGAGAGCCCCAGGGGCGGCGTGGAGCCCAGCTCAGGTGCGGGGGGGCTGGCTGCCTGCCTGCCTGCGCCACTGCTGAGAGCCCCTGGGGCGGCGGGGAGCCTGGCTCGGCCCGTGGTGCAGGGAAGAAGGCACAGGTGCACTCTGCTCTTCGGGCGGAGAAGCTGGGTGTCTACTTGGCCTGCAAGGTACCTAGCTGGGCAGCAGGGAGCCGCAGGGGCCCACGGAGCACCAGGGGTGGGCAGGTCCAGTCCCTGGCCTGGGGAATGGTGTATGTGGGAGCAACCTGCCACCCCCTCCAACACCCACCGACCAGCTACCTTCTCCCCTGGGCACCCCCTGCCCCAACAACCCAGCCTGTCCTGCCACTTTTGCCTCTGGGCAACCTCCAGCCGGCAACCCCCCCACCGCCAGTCACGGTCACCTTCACCCCTGCATCAACCTCGGGGACCCCCCCCCCCACCTGCCATCTCCCTCCTGCCCACTCCTCCCTTGTGAAAACCCCTCCCTGCCACCTTCAAACCCTACAACAACCACGGGCACATACACACCCCTGCCTGCCAGCCCCTTGCAACAACACCCTCCTGCCCACTTCTCCCTTGTGCCACTCCCTCCCTGCCACGAGCTACTTTTGCCTCTGTGCAATCTCTTCCCTGCCACTACACTCCTGCCCACTCCACCTCTTGGCACAACCCTTAAATCAGAACTTTTTATAGGGAACCGGTTGTTAAGATTTTGGCAGCTCATCACTGCCTAGAAGACAAGATAAGTAACAGTATATTTGTCAAGAACAAATTGTGTCGAACCAACCTCATAACTTTCTTTGACAGGGTAATAAGTCTTGTGGATGGGGGGGAAGGGGGCGGGAAGTGGTAGATGTGATATATCTAGACAAACTAGGGAAATACAACTGAGATGGAGGTACTATAAAGGCAGGTGCATAATTGGTTGGAAAACTGTTCCCAGAGAGTAGTTATCTGTGGTTCACAGTCAAGCTGGAAGGGCATAAAGAGTTGGGGCTCGCAGGGATCAACTCTGGGTCCAGGTCTGTCCAATATCTTCCTCAATTATTTAGATAATGAGAGTACACACTTAAAGTTTGTAGATAATATGAAGCTGCGGGGGGCGGGGAGGGTGCAAGGGCTTTGAAGGATAGGATTAAAATTCAAGATGATCTGGACAAACTGGAGAAATTGTCTGAAGTACATAGGATGAAATTCAATAAGGACAAATGTAAACTACTCCACTTAAGAAGGAACAATCAGTTGCAGACGTACATAACTGGAAATGACTGCCTAGAAAGAAGTACTGCAGAAAGGGATCTGGGTATCATAGTGAATCACAGGCTAAATAGGAGTCAACAGTGTAACACTATTGCAAAAAGCAAAAATCATTCTGAGATGTTTTAGCAGGAGTGTTGTAAGCAAGACACGAGAAGTAATTCTTCTACTCTACTCCACACGGATTAGGCCTCAACTGGAGTATTGTGTTCAGTTCTGGGTGCCTCATTTCAGGAAAGATGTGGCCAAATTGGAGAAAGTCCAGGGAAGAGCAACAAAAATGATTAAAGGTCTAGAAAATATGCCCTATGAGAGAAGATTAAACAAACCCAATTTTTTCAGTCTGGAGAAGAGAAGACAAAGAGGGGACATGATAACAGTTTTCAAGTACATTAAAAGGTTGTTACAAGGAGGAGGGAGAAAAACGGTTCTCCTTAACCTCTGATGATAGGACAAGAAGCAATGGGCTTAAAATTACAGTGAGGGACCGTTTAGGTTGGATATCAGGAAAAACCTCTTAACTATTAGGATGATTAAGCATTAGAATAAATTGCCCAGGGAGATTCTGGAATCTCCATCATTGGATATTTAAGAGCAGGTTAGACAAACACCTGTCAGAGATGGTCTAGATCAGTGGTTCTCAAAGCCAGTCCGCTGCTTGTTCATGGAAAGCCCCTGGCAGGCTGGACCGGTTTGTTTACTTGCCACGTCCACAGGTTCAGCTGATCGCGGCTCCCACTGGCTATGGTTCGCTGCTCCAGGCCAATGGAGGCTGCGGGAAGTGCGACCAGCACATCCCTTGGCCCACGCTGCTTCCCACAGTCCTCCTTGGCCTGGAGCAGCGAACCGCGGCCAGTGGGAGCCACGATTGGCTGAACCTGCGGATGCGGCCTGTAAACAAACCGGTCCGGCCCACCAGGGGCTTTCCCTGAACAAGTGGCAGACTGGCTTTGAGAACCACTGGTCTAGATAATACCTAGTCTTGCCATGAGTGCAGGGGACTGGACTAGATAATCTTAAGAGATCCCTTCTACTCCTACTATTTTATCTGAATGATCTCAGCCTAAGTTTTTGGTAAACATCAAACCACAAACCCAGGTAAGTTAGTGTGGGTCTGTGATTCAATATATCATTTCCTATTAGCTGAGCACTGACTGCGTGCAAAGCACAAAATGAAGTCAGACACTGCTGTGAAGACCTTCTAATCTAAAAGATTAAAACAGGGGAGATAGGATGTACTGGGATAGCTAGAGGCTAGTTCTCAACTCTAGTTTTAATTAGAATCCAAGAAGTATATTGATTCAGTTATGGCCAGAGATGGAAAGGCCTAATGATATCTGTTACTGGTCATGTGCCATTTTATTTAGAACTGGCAACTCAGGTTGAAAAATTAGAATCTTACCCTTTGAGATCTGATAACTTTTTACTGAAGGATGACATTTTATTTTGCACCACTGAAGAGCGGATTAAATTTATGGAGAAGCTTCTAAATCTGCTACACAACCATAAATGGGCTTGAATAGGCCAGCTAAATTGGAAAGAGAACTAATCTCATTAGAGAACACAAATACAGCCCCAAGGTTCTAGCCAGAATTAAGATGTTCTGCATTGATCTGAATACATGTTTTCACTCAAGGAAGCCTGTATTTTGCTTGTACTAAAAAAACAGCAATGAGCAAACATCTCCATTGGGAGAATCTCTGAAAGAAACAAAATGTCTGGAATAAGTAAAAGATTGTCATAAACACCTCTAGCTTTCTGTAACTAAAACCCAGTTTCATATGCAAGTCCTTTGAACAACTGTTATTTCTCCTACCCTTTGCAAAAGATGATAATTATTCCAAATGTGTGCACAAGGTCTTCACAAGATTTCAGTTTTAAGACAATCCCTAAAAGAGTGGCCTAGTGGCCTTTTTGTTTAATGTACATTCAAATCTAAAGAAAACTATGAACAGACTTGCCCTTTGATCTGACTTTGATCTTATGAGGGCATCAGTACAAAAAAAAAAAAATCGCACACACCACTCGCTCTCTAATTTATATATATTAGAGAGAATCTTTTCTTGCTAACTTTGGTGCATGTATATACATTGTGTAAACAACTGAGGCAACTCTCAATATCCTGCAAGATAAAGCTTGGGCAATGGGGTCAAATCCTACATTGTATGCATTTGTTCTATCCATTCTTTCTTTTGTTCTGAAAAAAGTTGGATTGTTTTGATGACAAATGAGAGAACTTTATTTCATCTGAAAAAGGAGAGAATGACAATTAAGCTACCACTATAAGATTCTGGGCCCTAAGACGTCCCACAAATAATGTGTTCTTTACCAAGACGCTTGTGTGGCTCAGCTAATCGGATATATTCTTAACATGATCAAAGCACAATTACAAGCGCTGTTGGGTGGTTTTGTTTGGTTTGGAGGGGAGTCAAGTGGTTAACTAAATGACATATGGGATTAGTAATGTGTTATTCAGCTTTTTACCTCAGGGTCCCCGGTTCAAAAACTGTTGCCATTTGATAGTTGTCTGTTTTCCTATGTCAAATGAGTTTGCTGTACTCAGTCCAGTTCTCAGTGGTCAGATATCCAAACCAAAGGCTGGCACCTTCTTGGTAGTTTCAAAAGACACTAAGGGTTGATGTGCCCCCTGATAACCAGGTGTGGCAGTACATCCTACCTTCATTTCCCCAGCTGGGCTGTTAGTAAGTTCAAAGCTGTCATATCAAGCAGCACCTCCTCCCCACAATTTCAAGGGTCCCATTTATTAATTGAAAGTTCACCAGAAAGCCTTTTACCTAGGATTCTTAGCAGAGAGGTGGACTCCAGATGAATTTCAACCACTCATGGGTCCCAGGTCCAGACCCTTTACCTGCATGGCACTCTCGATCTTCATTGCTTTCCTGGAGCTAGCGCCTCTGCAGGGCCTTCCTGCCAATTGCAGCTCTTCTCCCACTAGCACAGGCTGAGCCTCCAACAGCTGCGTGGGAGCTCCCTCCTAAAGTTCCTTTCTCTGGGACAACTCCTACTCTATTCCCTGGGAAGCTCCACTTCTTAGGCTCCATCCCATCCCTAGCATCACCACCCTCCAATGAAAAGCCTACCAGAGCCCATCAGGTACAGGTGCTCATTAGCGGATAACCAACCACCTCAGCAGTTGATTACTTCTAGGTGGGCTAAAATTGGCTTGTTCTCCTTAAAGAAGCCCATGATGGATAGACTGGGCCCTAACTTCCCTTCAAGAGGCCAGTCACCCCATGATACGATGGAAACTGAATTA